TGAAGCGTTGGTAATTGCCTGGAGCCAGCCTCGTGTCACCTCCTGGGAAGCCGAGACTAACCGAGGGACAAGAACTACCTGTATTCAAGTTCTCAGCTAACAAATATTGACTGAATACAAAATACATGATCATGCCCCTGACCAACAAACACACAACAAATATTACTATAAGTGCTCCTTAGGCATTTGTCCCTCAATTAAACCATTCATTATATCTTATATATTCTAATGCATGCTTTCCTTTAATCATAAAACAAATTTGTGACATTCAACAGCTAATATTTATAATCACTTAAATAGCTCACCCTTTTAGCCAGAGTTCTGCCAAACACATTTACAGTCAGCATAAAATACTAGGCAAATCAGGCTCCTGTAAGTGTTTCAAAATAAAGATCTTACTTGCACTTGGATCCAGCTTTTTCACCAACTTTCAAGAAGTTTTCATAGCTAATCATTGCTTCCTCCCCCATCATAGGTGGTGTCTGATGTTCATCCAAGAGAAACCACAAATTCTTAAAAAAGAGATTTAAAAATGATGAGGGAAATACCACTTAGTGGATAGTAAAGTTTTCAAAACAGTGATATGAAATGAAGTCTTATTTTCAGTTTTTTCATACCTGCAATTCTTCATTGTCTAGCAATTCTCTACTTTTTCTCTGCAAAAAGACGGCTCTAGATTCTTCTCTTAATTTTTGCAACAATATTTCATCTTCTGCTGGCAGCTAAGAAAAGAATTGTAATTGGCAGCACAAGTATATTTTGAAAGTTGTTTACATGAGTTATTTGTACTTCAAGAATTCTTGAAATACAGTGATTCTTTCCTTCCTTCCCTTCTTTCTTTCTCAATTTTGATTGTCTTTTGCTTCTGCCTCATTATCCATTATTACTAATGAACAACAAAAATAATTGGCAATTGATAGTACTTAGCTTCTTCCATACATCTGTTAACAGTTGCCCCAATTTCTTTCTATAATCCAATAAGTCCCTATTATAGTCAAGGTTTGTTTTTACTGGTTTAAACAGAGAACAGTGTTGAAAAATAAAAATGTAAAGAAAAAGAAACTAAACAGGAAGCTAGGTATTACCACTTCCATAAAAGTATACCTAAGTCTAAACTTATAACTCAAATAAACAAGGTTAGCATCCATTCTTTTTCTGTCCAATACACCCAAGTTCTCTGCTGTTTCCATTTGTCTTGCAACTTAGTTTTTAGCGAAATGTTTCAGCTTGCCATGTACAATTGAGGCTGTTCCTAAATTAACACTGCTATTCACATGTCATGTTCATTACCTTCATTTCTTCTTATTTGATCAAACAGGAATTCCATGCTGACCTCCTTAGCCTGATAAATAATTGGGTGAATAAATTATTTTAATGGAGTTGGACTGTAACTGGAGAATACCAATAGAGAGGACTGGGGCTTTGTCCTGTGAAATACCAGTTTGATCTGGAGTGTCCTGAAGCCAGATAGGTGTTCTTTAGCATCATTACCACCTCCTACTTGTATCTGTAACACGTATGTCTAGTTAAGGCCTCTCATGTAAGTAGCATCAGCAGGAATCAACACCTGAATGGAGTCATCCATTACCATTTAAAGAATCTAGTTGCACCTCCTGCACAAGAAGCATTATTTTGATCTAACTACATTAACAGTTAGACTGATCTCCAATTTGTGCTTTATAGGTCAGGAACTCAAAAGGAGCAAATTATATGGATCCTTGGAAGTCAGGTTTCAGTTCAGGGTTCACAATAAACTTCACTGATTGTGCTTATGGATAATCTTTGGAGTGGACTTCTTTGAATTCGTTCATTAAAATGAGGGTTCACTGAACAGTAGTACTGTCTCAGATAATGAAAGATGAAAGCGTTAATACACTTTATTTATCTACTTATTTATTTATGCCACTTGTCTCACTAATACTATGACTCTGAGTGGCTTTAAATATAATAAAAAGTGAAAAAAGTTCCAAAAGACAATTAAAATTAGAAGAATTACAAAGAAAAGCTAAAAACCAAGATGAGTAGTCGTCTAGGGTAGAGATCTTCTCTACCCATTTAACCAACCCCAATATAGCAGCCCAGGCCATTCTCTCTGATATATTTTGACTATTTGTATCAAAACATCCAACTTATTCCTGCAGTTTTTAAATACATGACGTTTTAGAAATCTGAGACCAGCTGAAATAGAACTCTAGATTTTATATAATTTTAATGATCCTTGGTGGCTTATTCTTTTTGTTAATTAAATTGTTTTACCATACAAATTGTATTTTAAAGACCTTACCTAGAACAACACTGAAAACCTACCCTGTAATAAAATCGTGGTATGTTCACATTAGAGGTACTGGCACTTCTTCTTCCTCCTTTCCATTTCAGGTAGTATTTTGTAAACGACTCCATCTCATCATCCTTTAATTCCTGGTCGCTCCTTTTAGCTAAATAACACAAAACAGAGTATATTACCTTTCATTTATATAGCCTACTTTGTAAAACAAATTTCTATGTAAAAAATAATTTTGATTTGAATCCCATGTACTGATAGGAAACATCTTTTCCTATGAAAGAGAAAGAAGAATAAAGAAATGTCCATAAAAATCCCTTTGTGCTAACAGAATATGAGACCATGGGAGGGAACCTAGGGGAACCTGGTGGGGTCAGATGGGAGGAGGGTGCTGCAGTGCCTGTGTGGTCATAAAAATGAATGATTCCAGTGGCCATAACTTAAAAATGGGGTCTGAGGGGGCAAATCTGTGGAACTTTGAACGATTGCTAAGTGACCAATCATTAAGTCAAGGACTTGTTGCTTTGCTGCTGATGGTTAATCCTAAAAGACAGGAAACTATCTACCATTTCAATATCTTCACTGTCAATTGTAAGACTGCTTGTTGTGCTTGTAATTAATTTGGTCTTCCTTATATTTAATTTTAGTCCCATTTTCTTTCCTGTGCTCCTTGGGTTTTTTTTAGTTTATTTTGCATATCTTTTGCATTTTCAGCTATCAAGATCAATGTCATCAGCATAATAGAGGTAATGTTTCTCCAATTTTAAAACTACATCATCTTTCAATCCAACTTCCCTTAATATATATTCAACATATAAGTTGAATAAATAAGAAGAGAAGATGCAACTTAGTTGCCGTCCTTAACAACTTGGAACCAATCTGTTTCACTATGTTCTGTTTCTATTGTGGCTTTCTAACAGGTATGTTTCTCATAATAAGATTTTTTTTTCTGAACTTGATGTGATCAACACAATCAAAGGTCTTTCTATAATTAATGAAGCCCATTATTTTTTTTCCACTGCTTGCCGTATTTCAGTGAGTTATGCCAACAGTTCCTCTGCCTTCTAACTAGTAATGATTGAATTTAATGGAATAATAGAATTGGAAGGGACCTTGGAGATCTTCTAGTCCATTCCGTCCTCAAGCAGGAGACCCTACACCATTTCAAACAAATGGTTGTTCAATCTCCTTAAAAACTTCTACTGTTGGAGCATCCACAACTTCTGGAGGCAAGTCATTAATTGTTCTGTCAGGAAATGTCTCCTTAATTCCAGGTTGATTCTCTCCTTGATTGGTTTCTATCCATTGCGTCTTGTCCTTCCTTCATATGCTTTGGAGAATAGCTTGACTTCCTCTTCTTTGTGGCAGCCCCTTAAATATTGGAACACTGCTATCATACAAGTATAATCTTTATTGTCATTGTACTTAAATACGAAATTGGTTTCTCCTAGTCCTTCTTTTCATTAAACTAGACATACCCAGTTCCTGCAACCATTCTTCATGTTTTAGCCTTCAGTTCCCTAATCATCTTTGTCTTCTAGTACTGGAGGTTCTTGTAAGTAGAGTATCTTGGATGTTGACATCTCTACTGTACAGTATGTAGGAAGAAAAAAACTCAGTCCAGTTCCAAGCTAGGAGAAAGACATTGGAAATAAAATGGCAGCTGGCTGGTTGGAAAAGTTTGTTTATTTGGTTTCCAGAAATTTCAGTGCCAGCAGAATGTTTCTGGGGTGGCTGACAAAATGGCTGAGTGAGTGGATGGATTTTTATAGGGTTCTGGGTTTTGGTGATTGAGATGTTTCAGGGAGTTGTGCACTGTGGTGAACTTTGTGTCTTTTACTATTTCAATGGTGATGGGTTACTTTTATTATGTCTTAAAGATAGTGTCCTGTCCTTAAAATTTGGGCAGGGGAATGTAAATGCTTAATTCCATCAGCTCCAGCCTTCTGAGGGCTGAAGGCATTTGGTTTACGAATAGGCTGGCCTGGATTTCTTAATGGGCACAAATATTTCAGGGTTCTGCTTGAGGCAGCTTGAGTTTTCCTATATGAGGAAGACTGGGGCTGCTTTCTGCCTTTAAGAGCATATTTCTCCATTTCTCTTTGGGGAAATATAATATTCTGCCTCTTTTAATATTCCCCAAATTATTTCATTCTCTTGGGGACGGCTTCCCACAAGTGTTTCAGTATTCTCTTTCTATCTCTCCACACAAGCTAAAAACTAAACCAGCAATTTGCAGCTCATTGTATTTATACAAACCCTGCAAAGGCGGCAACTTAGTGCAATGCACTGTGCCTGTTCAATAAACTATGCCAAAACAAGAGTTATTTCTGCTGGCTGCCTACAATTTGACAGTTCGAGTGGAACAGTTCAAAACAAACAAACAAACAAACAAACAA